TGGCGTATTCTAGTAAATAAAAAATAACGTATTCTAGTAAATTACTAGAATACGCAGGTTACGCTTAACGCAGGTTACGCCGCATGTGACGGCACCCTTAAGGCCATTCTACATTGGTTGTATCATAGACTACATTTACACGGCACCTTTATCCCGGATCTACAATAGGGTTTTAAGCCTTAAGCCATAAGAAATGGGTGAATCACAGTCGCTTATTCTTCTCGGATTCGACTGTAATTGGTCAGTTTCTTACGGCATAAGGCATAAAACATCTATTGTAGATCCGGACTTAATCGAGTTTAATAACATCCGTAGTTATGAAACTGGCCAATCACAATCATTCCATTCTCCTAAAGAAAAGCTATGATTGGCCAATTTCATAACTACGGACATTATTAAACCCGATTAAGCGTGCCGTGTAGCAGAGGTCAATGACTACGTTTACACGGCACCCTTAATCGAGTTTAATAACATCCGTAGTTATGAAACTAGCCAATCACAATCATTCCATTCTCCCGACGAAAAGCTATGATTGGCTAATTTCATAACTACGGATGTTATTAAACCCGATTAAGCGTACCGTGTAGCAGAGGTCGTAGACGTCGCAAGTCATAAGTTTGTTGCTTGAGCCAATCCGATGCTCCAATTTTAAAGTCGTATGATGCTTACGACGCTTCCGACGCTACGATACGACCAATGTAGAATGGCCTTTAGAGTTAGGTTTTTCCAGGACGCTCTTTTTATTTGCAGCGCAGGGTTGCGTTCAGGAATTACACCCAGATAACTCTAAGCTATAAGTTACGTTACGTATATTATAATAAAATTGCACCCTAGAGTTATCTAGGCGTAATTCCTGAACGCAGCCCAGTAGTAGCGAAGAGCGTTGAACGCTGGCTTCGTTGTCAGTGGAGTGGAGGATCTTCGCCAGCGAAGCTTCGCTGCATGAAATTGTACCTTTAGGCCCTGCGCACAATGGAGGAAGTATTAGGAACAGGAATAGATATTAAGATTTCAACCTATCAGAAACCGTATATCCGGTGTAACTGGTATCTGGTAGGTTAAAATCTTAATATCTATTCCTGTTCCTAATATTTCCTCCACTGTGCGCAGGGCCTTAGTGTACACTTTTTCAACTAGTGCGACCAGTGCAGGAACAGAAAACAAACCTTATATCACGTCACTTCACGTAATTTCTCGTTTTGAGAGGATCTGCATTTCTTTTATTTATAATCGTATAATACTTTTCTATTTATAGCATAAGCACTTCTCAGTCAGAATGAACTTGATAAAGATGAGAGAAACATCGACAGAAAGATACATGTGTACGAAAATAGAACGCAATTGTTACGATTAAGCAAGATTTTAATTTTATAACCTAAAATTACTTTGTGCGTCTTGAAGTGATTTACAAAATTTTATTCAATTATCTATTTATGAGATTAATAATCTATTAATCTCATGAACGACGTTGGCATTGACAGTAAAATGATCGGTGGAAACATCAGTGGCAATTCGCCACTACCAGCAGAAAAATTGCCAGAATGCTGGAATCAAGAAGAAAGGATGAGCGCGTTGTTCTCGCCGTTTCGCAGTAAATCCGCAAACCCGCAAGATTGGATTTCTAAGTATAAGTTTTGGAACAATCTAATATACGAATGGCTGAAACATACCATGCAATGCAGTTTTTCTATCGTTGATTTGAACGAAGCCTTCAAAAGAAAAGGATGCACGCCGTTATGTCTAGTTACTGTAATTGAGGAGCTTCTAAGGTATTGTTACAACTGTTAAAAATATCGATTAAACATATTTAATATAAATATTAAATATATGAACATATATTTATAAGTATATATATTTTTTTTCAAATGTTTATATTAATCCATCAGTGATTATACTAATGGCAATTATATTAAAAAATAGGATATAATTTAAAATTTAATGCTTTAATGTTGTATATTCTTTTCTGTTTTGTTAATATATACAGGGTGACCCATTTTAACTTAGACAGCCAAATAACTCAAAACATCGCGATTAAATAAAAAAATGTTTAAAACAAAAATTGTTGGATATGAAGGGACTGATTGAACTATGACCTTGACAATGACCTTGACTTTCATTTTCAAGGTTATTTGAAGGTATACTTTCAATTTTCAAATAGAAACCCATATTTTTGATCCCGGATTTTGAAAGAGTGCAAAATTTTACGTCCAGATGAACTTTCATGTTATGGGTCAAAGTTGACCATAGAGGTCATTTCAAAGACAAATTCCTAATCGAAGCAGAAAACCAAAAAATCTTGATTTTTCCCGGATAGTGTTTGTGAGAAAAATTGTTGGATGTCGAGGGGAGACCAAACCATGACCCTGACAATGTCCTTGAACCCATATTTTCATGACCATTTCAAAGTCAAGTGGGGATTTTTAATAAAATTTTATGCTACATATGTATTTTCTTGTTGTGATTCTTTAGATATTAGCATACCTTACCTTCAAAATCGAAAATTAAACTTTCCATCTGATGGAGTTCTTCTAAGTATCCCTCCAAAATTTTGTCCATTTAGTGCCAAAGTCACAAGTGTTTATGTATTTTTTTTAACATTTGTAATCTGATAAAATTCTGGTCAGTAAAACGGCAAATTATACGCCTACAGAAGTAGTCGATATTCGTATAACCTTTGGTGAATGTGGTAGAAATTACAGACTTACTGCCCGTACTTATGCGGAACGATTCCCAAATCGCCGCTATCCTATTGCTCAACAAATTATGAACATTGAAAGGAAATTACTTTTATCCCCAGCATAAAATTTTATTAAAAATCCCCACTTGATCTTGAATGATCATGAAAATATGGGTTCAAGAATATTGTCAGGGTCATGGTTTGGTCGCCCCTCGACATCCAACAATTTTTCTCACAAACACTATCCGGGAAAAATTAAGATTTTTTGGCTTTCTGCTTCGATTAGGAATTTGTCTTTGAAATGACCTCTATGGTCAACTTTGACCCATAACATGAAAGTTCATCTGGACGTAAAATTTTGCGCTCTTTCAAAATCCGGGATCAAAAATATGGGTTTCTATTTGAAAATTAAAAGTAGACCTTCAAATAACCTTGAAAATGAAGGTCAAGGTCATTGTCAAGGTCATAGTTCAATCAGCCAATTATCCAACAATTTTTGTTTTAAACATTTTTTTATTTAATCGCGATGTTTCGAGTTATTTGGCTGTCTAAGTTAAAATGGGTCACCCTGTATATTCTGTAAATTTATTTTAGAAATAACGAGATAATTCAAGAGACTGACTTTTTTAAAGAACCATGTAAAACATGGACAGCATGGTCAATCGACATATTTGTAAAAAAGCCAATTAGCTGGTCATTTTCCAAGGTAAAGAATTATGTTGTGGGCGAGAAGACTAATAGTATAGAAGTCAAATATATACATTTGGGGATTGTGCGAGAATTAAGTGATATTATCCTCTCCATCACTGAAATTAGAAAAGATAATATGTTGTTCCCAATATCGGAGATAATAGAATATTGCAAGAACAATACAAAAAAGCAGATTTCAGAGAATGCAGTGAAATTAACATTAGAATGGTTAAACCAAAGGAAAAAAGTGATTTTTAAGAAGAGCTCCAATCCAAATAGTGAACTACTAGTTAAAATCTGTGTGCAAACAGTAAATGAAATTACAGAGGTAGAAGAAGGCATGTATAAATTGACAAAACAGGAAAATGAACTAATCAAAGAAATAGAACTTTTGGAGCAAGAAAAGCTCAATATTATTAATGAAGCAAAGTTGTATTTGGGAAAAGAGTTGCGTCAGATGGCAAAGGCACAATTAAGAAGAAAATTGGAATTAGAAAAGACCATAGAAAAGCGTGCGCAAGCTCTTGCAAATCTGCGCGTTCTCATCAATAATATCAAAGATGCGCATTCTAACTCTGCTGTATTGTCTGCTTATAAAACTGGGTCCGATGTACTGAAGAAGATCGGACAAAATGGTTTAACAGAATTTGGTGTCAGAGATGTTATGGATGATATTAATGAGGTAAATGGTTGTATGTGTTATATATGTATTGCTTGTGATTAATATGAATCGGGTATTAATATCCATTACTTGACGACTAGGTTTTAGAGGAGAACAAAGAGATAGATTTAGTTTTATCTGAGACACTAAACAATGCAGACTCTGATACCGAATTGGAAAGGGAATTGGCAGAATTGTTAGATGAGGATAATGTAAATGTTTTCGCTGCAGTTCCTGATTTAAATCCAGAGATTGAAAAATTGAAGCAACGTTTACAAGATTTATGCATGGAAGGTAAATATTATGGAATTTATTAATATATTTTATATAAAATATAATGGAATATATAATACACAGGTTTCGTTTCACCAAACAAAGATGTAACTGCTCTGCCATCTGTACCATCCAATAAAGAAAAGGCTTTGAAGAAACCTGAGTGTTTGTAAGTTGCAATAGTCAATCTATTGGTATTAATAACTTGATATTAATATCTTCATAGAATCATTTGTCTCACATTTTTTTAAGAATGTTTTACTGTAAATCATCTAATAGAAAATATATTTATTGTACATTATGTAAAAAAGGTTTTAATTTTTTTTATTAAATATGTTTTGTATAACTTGATTTTTATGAAGTTAAAATAAATAATATGACGATTAAAATTTTATTTCTGTCTATCCATTTTTTATATCATATCTGTATGTTATAAAATAGTAAGAATGTTTTAAAAACAAAATATTAATAAGCGCAGCTAAAGTCGTAAAATTAATCTCATTTATCACATACATACAAAACTTATTTCTTAAGTCTTTAATTATTCCATTCAACAGAAGTGTAACTCTCTTCACATGATTACATATTTGACAAAGAATATAGATGATTTATCAATAGTTTTCAAGATTCTAATCCAGCTAGCAATCCAGCAGGAAAACAAGCATCGTGTGCCGCAGGCTTAACATGGCACAAGACAAATGCTTTTTTCGATAATTGCGCATAATAATTGATGGTATCATTAATAAATTTAGGAACATCTCGTTTGAGATAAATTTGAACATAATATGTGTATCTGATTTTGTTCTATTTTTATAATTACATCTTGTATCCATGAAATATGCCTGGATATTTCTGTATATAAGGAATACAAGTTATTGTCACAATGACCAGTTCCATCCTTTTGTATCGTGCCGAGGGAAACACTAACAATACCTCGAAGATACCACAAACTATTGGTTTTAAAGACTAATCCGCCACCACTGTCACCATCGCAGACAGAAGAACCTGAAACATACAATGCTTCGGTAAGTTATCTTTCTATTTTTCGCATCTTTGTATAGAACAATCTTAAATTTAAAAACAATTCTCAAAATTTGTCTTTCCCTCTTATTATTTTTTTTATAACTTCTATAAATTAAAATCACTTTACATTTTTTACAAATATTTTTCTTATAAATTTAGTACAAAAATATAGCGTCATGTTATAATTGATGTTATATTTAATAGATCTTTCACTAACCATTTGTGTAACCTGCGCAAAATTTATCATTGGTAATAAATTGTTCTGTATTAACATTTTGGCTAGCGGATCTGCATTGGCTGAGCGGAATTACAGGTACTCTTAAAGCCTGTAAAACGGCGCTAGATTCACCGAGTGCGGTTCTACCAAATCCTGCTACCTTTCCATAAGAACCTGCTTCCAATACACTTCTATCGCTTAAAGTATCTATACATACGGGAACCAACCAAGTTGACAATACAAATGGTCTAACGAGTTCTAATACTGCGATATCCGAGAGGTAATTTCCTATAAGTCCTAGATAATTACGTACGATGTAAATACGTTTCACCTGCAAGAAGGCATGTGTAAACACTTATGACTAACAATGTTCTTTCTAGATTAATTTGTTATTTGCATTTATTATGTTCCAAACCTGATTCTTTTTAACGAGGATTGGATTATGAAAAGGATAATCGTAATCACGAAAGATATTTCCCGTTAATATATAAATTGAGCCGGCATTAATCGGTTGCCTATTACTCTCATCATATACACAATGCGCTGCCGTTATCAAGAGATTCTCTTGAATAATGGTCGCTCCACAGAAGAATTTCTTTGACTCGCCTGGTACATCAAGATACATCGTAGCGTGCCACGGAAATTCCGTGATATTCGGCCGTACACCGCCTACAACAGTCGGTGTAACGTCGGGAGGAAGAGTGCCGCATACTACAACAAATATTTCAATTGGAGAAATCGTCTCGACGTAATAATACAAGAAAGCGTATTGAACACGCGTGATTATACAAAAGGAGATAATTCACAATTACTGTAATTCCATTGCACGTCATGATACTTTTATAATTAATGGGATGGGAAAGAGATTGAAATATATCAAAAAGTCACGTAAAAGTTTATTAAATATATTCGGTACGTAAATGGGTACACTTAGTATAAATTTGTACACAGCATTTGTATAATAATTAAAAATTGAATTTAATACTTTCATTTCCAACTTTGGTTTATTAGGAAACAATATCAAATCATAACTTAAACAGAAACTGTAATATATATACACAGTAGGGTGGTTGTTATTTTAATAATTTTTGAAATTTAATCAGGACACCTAAAGGATTCAATATTTCAAAAAAATAATATCAGATTTTTAAAACAATTTTAACCCGTGCCATCGGGGCATAAATAGATATGCGATAAAATATATCATGCACTTGCATCTATGGGTAGTATTCATAGTCAAATCTTATATATAATACCGTCTTAAATACAGTTTTTAGATATCATGAACCAAGAGAGTATTAGCATCTTAAGACATTGCTTAAGACGATTTTAAAATAAGAACCGACTATATGAATACCGGTCTATATGTATCTATTTTTGATACCGCGATTTAACACGGACTTGCACCAAATCTATTTTTTTAACAAAAAATTAACTAACAGAGCTTTTTAAAAGAGGACATTAAAAAGAGACTGGTCTCTGCCCAAAAATGTGTAAGTAAAAGGAATAGCGTTTTTTATAGATTTTGATCTGAATATGATAATGTTAATAAAAAGTTCGGGATAGATAGGGAACACCCTGAAAATTAAACATAAACATGATATATTTAAAGAAATTGAATATTCTTGTTTACTTTTCAAGATGTTCCCCACATGCTTTTCAGGAGATCAAAATCTACAAAAAACGCTATTTCTTTTACGTACATCATTTGGGCAAAAATTTGCCCTTTTTTGGAGGATATTAAAAAAGGATCAACTTTTGCACTAAAAAATATAAATATAATGTTTTTTGTAGATTTTGAACTCCTGAATATAATAAAATTATTAAAAAGTTCGTGACATTTGGGAAATACCTTGAAAAGTAAACAAGAATATTGAAATTTCTTTAAATGTGTCATGTTCATGCTCAATTTTCAAGGTTTCCCTATCGATCCCGAACTTTTTATTAACATTATCACATCAAAATCTATAAAAAAACATTATTCCGTTTACTTACATTTTTTTGAGCAGAAATCAGACTTTTTTCAACATCCTCCTTTCAAGGCCTCACATAGTGGGCGGAAAAATTTTTCTGATGCTCTAATTCTTAACCAATTTTAAAGTTTTTTTAATTTGCTCAAAATTGAATAAGCTATAAATTCATTTTTGTTACGGTTCAAATTAAAAATTGCTGATCCAATATTCATTATTGTATAATTTTCATTTTTTTTTTCTCACTTTATTGGATCAGCAATTTTTACTTTGGAACATAATTAAAATTTAGGTAAAATAGGCTTTTAGTTTATTTAATTTCGAGCAAATTAAAAAAAACTTTAAAATTTATTTATTTATTACGTAGAGCATTGGCCGAATTTTGTCCACAAAGGTGTTCTTCCGTCTACCAGTGCCCCGGTGGCACGGGTTAAAATTGTTTAAAAAATCTGAAAAAATCTGGTGTCATTTTTTTTTGAGATATTAAACCACTTTAGAGAGTCTTCCGATTAAACTTCAAAAATTGTTAAAATAACAACCACCCTAATACACAGGTATGTGAATTATCTCTCAATGGGGATAAGATATGTATGATTACTGTGCCAGCTATAAAAATATTCGAAATTGTAGTATTTATAATGTACTATCATTCTTTCATTGTTTTAAGACCATGCCCATGGCTCATCTGTTGCTATATTATTTGATTTTGATATTCTAATGTCTATATTTGGATAACTTGGATTGTTGGCATTCGTATATATAATGATTCTATCATTTAAAACTTCAATAAACGTCGCATTTCTATCGAAAGTAGTGTGAAACATAAATTTAGTGTTATTAATGTAAATATTTATCATCAGCGGACCTGGAATACATCGCATAGGTTCTGGTTCCCATTGACCATTTGCATTACATCTCACATTCTTTCTTTGTCCGGTTAGTAGATTAGTTTCAGGCCGATAACTATTTTTACATTCCAATACCGCTTCTGTTCCTGGTGGAACTGGAGATTCACAAGGTATCCATTCATAATTGTATGTACATCTAGCTTCGATTGATGCTGTAGTCAAAGCTTTGCAGCGTATTTCTATCAAACATTTTGAATAATTAATAATTAATAATTCAGTATTTAAAAATCCATATATATCTTTTCATGAATAATTAAATATTTCAAAAATATATAATTCTTGTTTTAAACCTGTGCAAACTGGTATATTAAGCCATTTTCCCTCGAAGCTGCAGCTCACGTCAGTTGGACCTCTTAATTTATATCCCAAATTGCAGGAGTAGACGAGATGAGATCCTAATCCCAGTTCCGTTCCTTCTGGAACGTTACATTCCTGTCCACCTGAACATTGTGATCGATGTAATTTCCAACGACCGTTCTGCGGTTGCGAAGGTGCTCTACAAGCGTTTGTGCCACGTGTTGGTGTTGGAGTCGGTACAGGCCATCGTGTTGTTTCCGTTGTTGGTACCGTCGGTAAAGGTGATGGCCACCCTCCAGTTTCGCTGCATCTCGAATCCTCGTCTGATCCATCGATGCATTCAACTACTCCGTTACATCGTAGATCACCATTGATACAAGCTCCATAAGAACAACGGAAAGCTGTCGGAGGACAACTGCAAACAAATTAGTAGTTATACAACGTTTATTTCTCATGGTCGTTGAATCATTTTCAGCATTTATAAAAGATTCTCACTATAGTGATCTGCATTTTTCAGAAGTTTCGTCAGAACCATCCGCACAATCTTCAATTCCATTACACATATTGTCCTTATGAATACACTCGCCATTATTGCATGTAACTTGATTTGTGGTACATCTATTAGGTCTGCTTATAGGTCTGCTTGTAGGTCTACTTGTAGGTCTTCCTGTTTGATTGTTTGTTGTATGTTTTGTACACTGAGGCTGCGTTTCGTCACTGTTGTCAATGCAATCTTGGACGCCATTACATACAGAATCTCCATTTACACAGGCACCGTAGTTGCAACGAAAGGCATACCTATGACACAAAATCTCTGGCTTTGTACACTCTGCCTCTGTCTCATCAGACAAATCCTTACAGTGTGGTGTGCCGTCGCACAATAAGTCGCCAGCTATACAGTCTCCATCATAGCATCGAAATTTGTCTGATCTGTTCGGACAAGTATATTAGCTAATATTTATTTGCTTAAACATTACATTACTTTGATATGTAAATACTTACCCACATTCATAAGTTTGTGCATATCCAGAACCAATACATACTGGAAAATCCAAAAAATAATTTTGCTCATAAAAATCTATTTTCTATTATTTTATATGTTGGACAATTGTACATGTAAGTTGAAATTATTTATTAAATTATTTTAATTATATAATTGAGATTTTTTTCATAATATACCTAAAAGGATTCTGTTTGATGCTCGTATTTTTTATGATAGGGAAACCAACTATAGATTGATTGATCATATTGACTAGCACAATATAAGAAAAACTTTAATAAACTTTAATAAATGTGGGAGAGATATGCTTTATGTATTCGTGTATCATCTTCGCTTATTATCTACCAATATAAGTAAACATGTATGCAAGATATTCTTTTACGCTGAGGTTCAAGGTCACTAAACTGGTTTCTGAAACTGGTTAAGATTACTTTAGAAATTTCTTGGAATATGCGAATCTACAATTACTACGAAATATTAATTAATATATAATACGAAATTTCTTCTAACAAATGTAAATAGATAAAACAAGTTTTACTAATACAATATTTTTTCTATCAATTATTATTTATAAATTATTAACTGATTGATCATTTAATCAAGATTAAAATATGCTAAATAAAATTTTGTAAGTAAAGGAAATTAAAAAACTTTAAAATATATTATTTGACATTTTTCTAAAATGTATGTTATATATAATGTTAGATATAATGTTATTTGACATGATTTTGATACTGTGAAATATGTAGAAATATATGGATTCAAAATAAATCGAAACAAATGTTGTCAGAACACGAGGTAATAGCATGGTAATAGCATCAATGAAAACAGTTGCATTTATAAATATTTTCATGAATATTTATCAATGCTATTTCATCAATAATTGATTCAAAAGAATAATAGAATATATTGTATCTTTAAAATTCTGTTACACTATATACCCAATTAATAAAAAAAATAAATACAAAATCTTCGAGAAAGAAAGTTATAGTAGAAAAAATTTTTTATAAAAAGTTGCAGCTTTACAATTACGAATACTTTTTATCAATATCGTGATAGTTTTTATTTATATCACGAAAACAAGTTGGCGTCATATGGTTCTTTCTTACCGTAAACAACTATTAGTAGTGTGGATATCCATTGAAAAATCCGCATGGTAAAGCACAAACGTTAGTAATTGCAGTCTGTGCCTCTTTATATCTCGGCGCTCGGTCACTCACTGCGATCATCTACACTGCGTGCCACAAGATTGGAATTACCCAACGCAGGCAAAGCGTCATCTTGGCGCGTGTGGTGGGAAGTACATAAACAGGGAAAGTACATTCTATGATTTGTACGCTGCAAATTAACGTAAATCATGAACAAATCGAGGGAGAGGGGAGCAGATGGCATGATGACGTACATGTGTTTTCAATTCGGTTCAAAGAACTTTGCAAGAGGGATAATAACATATTTTTATTAGGATGTTTGATTAGGATTCTAACATCATTATTGCTTTTGGTTTTACAAGAGGGAACTTTAGAACTATGACTAGAAACTTATAATTAATCTTGCAAATAGGAAATCTTAAAAAAATATTATTTAAAAACTTTCTTTAATGTTTCTTAGTGCATTTGATACAAAGGCGGAATTATGCATTTTACATCTAAACATCATTATGCACAGCTTCTTGTTTTTCATCATCCTCCACAGGTAGCACATCTCTGTTACTAAAAGAATAAAAAGGGAGGCTTATCAGCCATTTTAAGGTTCTATATAATATTGGTTAAGGTATATATTTAAACAGGAAGAAAAATTCATTACATAAAGTGTTCAAAAAGGATACGTTTGTTCTGAAATTTCGGTGTCTATCATGTGTTGCAAAATATATGTTTTTTGAAACTTTTCTACTTCTTCTTCACACTCCTTCCAATCTAACGTTTCATGGAGACCGTCTGTGCCATATCTTTTACTATAATTATCATAATGCACCTGTTGATACATTTAGTCTTTGAATAATTCGTCTTTAGAAAACTTAATATTAATCTCACAATAGATTATATTAATATATTAATAATAAATACTAAAATAATTTCATATATCAATAAAATATGTGCTATCAAATTTTCTTACATGACACAGGCACAATCCTAAACTAGGTGCAAGTGGTAAGTCCATCTTGTCCATTGTCTTGAATGCTTCATCGATTGTCTCTTTGGATATCATGTTCCTTGCAATAGCAACTACAATTGCGATCATTTTTCGGATTTGATGCAACATGAAACTTTGCCCTTTAATTTCCAATACCGCTAATTCTATATCATTTAAAACGAATGTTTCCGTACAACAGAAACTAATTATATAGCGTCGTGCGCGTGGATCTAATGGTTTCCTGAATTAAACAAAATTTGCTTCAGTTTTAAGTATCTAAATGAATAAATACGTTCTTTTGAATTGATATTGACTTACACTTTTGACGTGAAGTTATGAAAGTTATGAGAACCTTCGAAAAGTTTCAAAATCGAATTTAATCTATCTAAAGATTCTGGAGATAATCTATAATCACTGTATGGCTTTCCGTCAATAATTGATAACTGTTTGATTCTTTCATCTTCGTCAACTTCCTCTCCAAGTTTTAGCAAACTTTGATCTTCTAATGCAAATGCATAGGAAGGAACGATATATCTATAAGTACGTGCATCACATTGATTTTTGCTGTTGAAACCCTTTGTCACACGTTTTATTCCAAATACTCTGATGGCATCAGGTAAGAACTGATTTATTATTGTCTTATTACTATTCTCCGCTGTAAAGAAAATTTGATATTTATAATTTAATATTCATATAACATAGTTCAAAAAAATAAAAAGTTTATTTTCTTTGTTACTTTTAAGCTTACAAAATTTGCCTTTTATTAATAAAGGCTGTGTTCAGCAGGAAGAGTAGCTTTGCAACTGTTGCACGATTCTTTAGTATGATTATTATGATTCTTGTTCTTAGTTCCGCACTATATCTGAATGTATAAATCAATTATATTAAAAAATCTTACAATAGTTGCAAAGCTGCTTTTTTTGTTGAATGCAACCATTAAATAATAATTCAAATAAAAAAATAGCATTGTAAAATTAATATAAGCATATTATAATTAATATAATTAAAAATTACTCTTAACCCTTTATGGTCCTTCTGGGTCAAAATGACTCAGAAGGAAACAAAAAAAATGCTTTTTTCTTTATTAATGATCCAAAAGGAAACCAAAAAAATGTGCTTTCTCCTTTTTTAGGAAAAAGCACATTTTTCCAAACTTAACACGTTTACGATTTTTTATTAGTGTTCAGATTAAATTTTTCACTAAAACGCCATTGTTTCATTTTCCTAAAGGTTGAAACTACATACTGTAATTTTTGGAAGTTATTAGAACTGATACTATTAATTTGATAATACTTAAAAAATGTTTCGGGTCACCCAGAGTAACCATCATGTGGCTTTTTTGAAGTGTGATCATGAAGGGTTAAACAATCATTCTTTAAAAAAATATGTATAAGAAAAATTAAGAGTTAAAATATTTATCTTACGTAGTTTCAGTGAAACAATTTGCCTAATCGCTGACACTCCCTTGTCCGTACGTGCAGCCCTTTGAAAATTAATCGCACGTATATTCTCAAATTGTTCCTTAGTTATTAAGTCTGCCTTTAGTAAGGCAGTAATTAAATCTTCCTCAATAGTTTTCATACCACGATTTCTTTGCATGCCATAATAGTCTTTGCCAACATAGCCTAGTAACATAGCATGATTTTTTCTCTTTATTCTTGGTACTGTTTCCATTTCTGTTGCTTGTAATGTTGTCACTTGTACTGTTTCTTCTTCCGTCTTTTGCACTTTGGCTTCATTTTCACTGCCATCATCTATGGATCTCTTAGTTCCATGCATAGTATTTACATCAGTATTTAGTTCAGAGTCAGTTGTAGGATGCATTACGACTGAGCTAGTTCTGCGATAAATGTTTTCTGAGACAAATTTACATGAGTAAATAGTATTTAAATTTATATGGATATTAAGTAACATCAAGCTAAATTAGAACTAAGCGAAATTAGAACTAAGCTAAATTAGAAACTAACTTGAAAAGAACAGTTGAAATTTAAGAAAAAGAATAAGTTATAATACAGACATTTTAAATGCTGCATGTATAATATTCTTCAAACTTTCATATGTTTATACGAATTTGTTTCATGTAAAAATTAATTAATCTATTAATATGTTATCACTAATAGGTAACATTATATATTTTGTATACCTAATTGAATCTTTACCCAACAATTTATGGATTTGCTTGAGAGGCTGTAACTTGTCCTGTACAACATTTGCGGCACCTTAATTCCTATCTTATAAACAATTCTCACGTTAAAATAATTCGAATTTCTTTTTCTTGTTCTATTGAAAATCACGTCATTTATAATATCGCTATAAAAACCACAAGAATATCCAACTCACAAGTCACACATACGCAAGTCTTTTTCTTCTTCTGATTTCCCCTTTTTTGGTTTCCCGACTCAAATATAAGGTCTATTTGCTTTGCTCGCACTTTTTGCACTCGGAATCTTCGCTTTCTCTCTTTTCAAAGCCAAATATATATCTTTCTCATTTTAAGTGCAAAAATATTTGGGGATTTCATGCAACGCGCGAACAGATCTATAGAGTCACAGTACCATGCAGAAATAACAGATCCCTAGATTCAGGCTGCGGTCCACTTGACGCTACAAACGCTTCGAAGCGTTTGAGCGACCAATCAGAACAAAGAATTTTACGAATTGACTAATCAAAGAACGCTTCGAAGCGTTTGTAGCGTCAAGTGGACCGCAGCCCCAATGAATATGCTGGATTCACACTGCATCCAATTTTTATAGCGTTTTCGGCCCGATCGGGT